GGGGAGATATATATATTTTTTTTAATAAATGTGATAGAAATATCAAAACTGGTTTTGCTTTTTCATATTTATAGGAAAAAATCGATCTACGATCTCGAGGGCGAGTCAATGGGCGAGCTACATGGCGGTTTTCCCGACCCGATCCGCCGACTAACACGTCTCCTTTTTTGTCTTTTCTTTTTCTTCCCATTCTCCATTTTTTTCCTTTTCCAGTCCGCTGGCCTGTTAAAGATGTTTTTCGTTCTGATTGGGCTTAAGTGGATCAAAACTAAAGGCCCATGTTAGTCAGCTTGGGCCTTAGGTAACCAGTTCACAAAGCGAGAGTGAGGGCAACAGCGAGAACGCGAGAGCTTGTATTTTCAAAGAACTCAGAGCGTGCAAAGAGTGTTAATATTATATTATTATTTATAAAATTTATAACAAAAATACCACTAATTAGATGCATTCATATAAATTATTTGAATAAAAACAATTATTTAAAATAAATATAGAAAAATATACAAAGAGAAAATAATAAGAGAATAGAGATTTACTTCTCTCATTTGTAAAAAACTAATTATACCTCCTTTTCTTAATTTAGTCTTTTACCACAATCAATCAACCCTTTGAAACAGCTAACATCTTCCTCATAGTGGAAAACGTTTAGATTTGCCAATAAAAAATTAAGGGCTAATACCACTACAACACCCGAACTATCGCAAAAATGCCACTTGTGTCCTATTGTATTCAATATTCCTTTCATGTCCTCAACTATGATACTTTGTGTCATTTGTATCCTGTCAATTTTGTTGACCGTTAAAGATAACGGTTGACCAACGGTGGTCAACGCAAAGTTGACTTTTTGTTGACATGGCAAAAGATGTGGCTGCCACATAGATGCCACGTCACTGACCTGGCAATTTTTTAATTCAAATTAAATAAAAATTGAGTTAAAATAAAAAAAACTGTAAATTCAATTATATTATTAAGCCAAAATTTTAAAAAAATAAAATTCTCATTATTCTTCTTCTCTACCGATTCGCCGTCTCTTTCTCTAAAAAAATCTCCAAGCCGATTCCTCTGCAAGAATTCTACCTCAATAAATTTAACCCATAAATCAACAAAATAGATCGACTAACCGAACAAATCAACGAACAAGAACGAGAAACCCAGAACAAATCACAACGAACAAGAACCACGAAGCCAGAACAAGAAACCTAAAACGACGCTAGCAAAGTGATCCGCCGCGCGCGAGGGAGGGAGAGAGAAGGGCGGGGAAGCAGATCCGGCTCTGACTGCTTAGAATTAGGTTTTCTGGGAATCGATATTAGGGAATTAGATCGTCTTCCCTACCACCGCTGCCGCCCGCCGTTGCTTTCTCTCTCTCGGTCCAGATCCATCGCCACCATCCCTCCTCGAGTCGCTCCAATGGCTGGGCAATTCAGCGTCTTCCGTCGTTTCTCCAATCACAGGCGGTAGAAGAGGTCCGGGGGGAAGGGGAGGCAGGAGGTGGAGTCGGCGAGGAGGATTGCGAGGGCGAGGAGGAGGAGGAGGAAGAGGAAGACGACGGCGGCGGACTGGAGGGAGGTGAATCGGTGGACCGTGGTGCGGCCTTTGAGTAAAGGGAGATGAGCGGCTGTTCATCGCCGATTTAGGGCTCGGCGCCGCCGTGTGCCTCCAGGGGTTGTGGGCGCTGCAGACTGGGCTTTCTCTCTACGTCGACGGTTTCATCCCCGAAGGATGTCACAGGCTGCTGGATGTGGTCAGCGGGGTGGAAGGGTCGACCAAGTGCGATTTGGAGGATTCGAAGTTGAGAGCGGTGGCGATTTTGGGGGAAACTGGAGGCGGTTACCAGTGTCGTGAGCAGAGCAGAGAGGCGGCTCGCTTGGAGGAAACTGGATCTTGGGCAAGAGGTTGGTGGGACGACGTGGGTTAATTTTTTTTTTAATATTTTAATTATTACCTTTTTCTTATTTATTAATATTAGATAGAAAAATAAATATTAAAAATTCCACGTCAGATGCCACATCAGCACTGACTGGACTTTCTGTTAAAAACAAACGGTCAACAAAAGTCAACATTAACGGAATCATAGTTCAGGACACAGATGGAATATTTGATACAATAGGACACAAGTGGCATTTTTGCGATAGTTCGGGTGTTGTAGTGGTATTAGCCCAAAAATTAAAGCAACTTTTCCCTTTCTTCTACCTTCCTTCCTCCTTTTTCTTCTTCTACCTTCCCGACTGAATCCTCTGTTTCTTTTCTCTTCTCTACAACCCTTCCTCCCCAAACTAAATAACATCTTTACCAATAAAAATTGCTTCATCCCAATTCTCATGATCTCATCCCGATCCAGCCATTCACAATCCCCCAACACCTCTCTAAAAGATATCGATCCAACACGAAGTTTTGGACCAAATCACACTCATTCAAATGACCCACAATGAAGAATTAAAGATGTTTTAATTAACCTAATTAGTCATTCTCTTTCTTCAGTCAATGTCTCGAATTGGAGAGTGTGATCGATACTCAATCAATATCATGATAAATACTTCAAATCAATATATAATAGAGAGTGTAACAAGCTAGGATTCATCAAATCCTAACATACATGGCTAGAAATTTGACAGCCCAAGTGAAAATGGAGTCTACTCCGTAGCGAGAGAAAGAGAGGGAAATACAAGCCCGAGAAGAGAAATCACCTTATGAAAGTGGGTTCTATATCTTGAGCTCCAATCTTCACTCCTTGGTGATGAATCTTGCCTCCAATTACCTCCTAGGGATCCTTCTTCATCCCTTTCTCTCTCTAGGAAGTTGTTGCTCTCATTTCTCTCTGAATTCATTTCTCTTGCACAAATTTAATTCTGCTGCTTCATCCTTGTCCCACCTTTGGCGCGCTTCATGCTCACCTCACCACTACTTCGTTGAGCGGACCATTTGAGTGGCTATCTGACTCTGTGGCAGGTCATCGCGTGATTGAGTCTCTCGAGTATCTACATATGGTTGAACCGTACGCTGGTCACGACACCATCACAATTGGTGATGGCACAAGTTTGGCGACTTCTCACACTGACACCACTATCTCTCTTTCTTCTCGCACTCTCACTATGTCGCCCATTCTTCACTCTCCCACTGAAACCACCAATCTTATTTATGTATCCTCTTCGTCTCACACTTATAATACCTCTATTGAATTCTTTCCTTCATCTATTTTGGTGAAAGATTTATCTACTGTGGAAGTTATGCTCCAGGTGCGCGCTAAGAACGACGTCTGTGTGTCACCGCCAACGACATTCTTCAATGCTTCTCCACACTCTCTTGCTCGTGTCCAATCTTTTGCTGACTATTGACATTGACAATAGGGGCATCCCTCTGCTGAAGTAGGTTCTCCGGTGGTTGTTCTACTTCTCTCACGACGGCCTCCTCTTTCTCTATCACTTGTTCCTCTTGCCAATGTTATGTTGCAAAATCCATCAGCTTCCGTAATATGTGTCATCTCTCACTACCTCTTGTCCTCTTGAGTTACTTTACTCATGTTTTGGGAACCTGTTTTTGTTTTTGCTATTGATCATTGATGATTTTCTATACTATGTTATTTTTGTTGATCATTTTACTAAATATGTGATGCATGCTAATTTATACATTGAGCCCTTGATATTTGATCGTTATTAACTTATAAAGTTACAAATCATTGTGAAGGTGGCGAATCAACACAAAGCGTTGAACTATTTCACACGATACAAAATAGAGGGAAATGGTGATTAAAACGTCAAGACTAGATAATGAAATCTCAAAGTTACCCCAATAAATTGGGGATTTAATTCATGATGAAATGAAAGATCATAAGCATGTTAATGTTCGACATGATAATTAATTCACTAAACAAAGGTGTAGGTAGAGAAAGTACTTAAGTTTTGAAGTTAATTCTCAACTTACAAAAGTCTTCCTTTCTTCAAAATGTTCAATTCCAAAGTGTGTCTTCTTTCTCTAATCTTCTTCCAAAATTGGTGTTCAGTTGGCTTTGTTATCTTTTTGCAGAAGGTTTCTCTTCCTAAAAGTGAGCTCTCTCCTTTGATTCCCCCCCACCCTCCTCTAAAACTAGTCTCCAAAAGTGTCTAAGTGGCCCTGCCCTACTTGTTGTTTGTTCGCTCTCATTTCATTAAACTATCTGCATCTTTTTATCTGACGGTGAGCCATCAAATCCAAGTACTCACTTGAAGAAAATTGGTCCAAAATCTCATTACTTTGCAAGGGTTGTTGTTAGTTGAGTGAAGATTCCTACCCAGGCCATTTATGTTTGTGTCTTTCTCGGTTTGACCTTCTATTAGGTGTTCGCCTCTCTGCATGTCTGCATTTTGTCACTTCACCAGAATTCTGTCACCGATCAATATATACTAATTCAACACAATCTAAAAACCAACATACATAAAGATCAACCATTTAGCTATCTGGAATGTGGCTATAGTGTGGCAGGGCCACTATGGTTGTTAATGCAAGGGGGCAGTTTTTTGGAGATATTGTTTGGGCAAACAAACATCTATATTAAGAGTTGCGCGACATTGGATCATAAAGAGAACTTTTAAAGACCGAACTGCAATAGCATCCCGGCTTATGTGATGTTTCAGTACAGCGTTAAAGTTGTGATTTAAGTTTCTCTTGTATAGAATTAGTGGTGTTATCGGCTTTGTATTTCGGGTCTATTTTGTCCAGGAAGAGAGCTTCAATGATAATGCTAATTAACAGAGGGGGAAATGCATGAAAATGGTAACAAAGACCACGAACCTGTGATTCAATGTATTTGCCTGGTTATAAAATGAGCAACAAAATGTAATCGAGACAGAATTGGATTAATTACCGGGAAAAAAAGAATTGGATTGTTCGTCAAAAATCCGCTGCCAGATGCAACAGAATGTGTAATCTACCGTAACAGAAACAAGAGCCAAAATAAAGATGGGAAAAAACAAAAAGAAGGAAAACCCCAATTAGGGAAACGGATGATCATCCTTGTAATTTGTTTTTTAAGAGCTGGTGAATTTGGTGACGGCCTTGGTGCCCTCGGAAACGGCGTGCTTGGCGAGCTCGCCGGGGAGGACCAATCGGACGGCGGTCTGGATCTCCCTCGACGTGATGGTGGGCTTCTTGTTGTAGCGGGCCAGGCGGGAGGCTTCCTGCGCCAGCTTCTCGAAGATGTCGTTGATGAAGCTGTTCATGATCCCCATCGCCTTGCTGGAGATCCCGATGTCAGGGTGCACCTGCTTCAGGACCTTGAAGATGTAGATCTTGTACGTCTCGCTGCTCTTCTTCACCTTCTTCTTCTTCTTGCTGCTGTCCCCGCCTTTCTCCGCCACTCTCTTCTCCGCCTTCGGTCTCTTCTCCGCCGACGCCGTCGGCGATTTGTCCTCCGCGGGCTTCTTCTCCGCTGGCTTCTTCTCTGCCGGCTTCGGCGCCATTTTGATCGTCGAAAACAGGACGGGCACGGACGCGATTTATTTTGACTCTTCCTTTCTCCACGCTTGGCTATCGTTTTTTTCGGAACGGGGAATTGAAAGGAGTTCCTGATGCAGTTTATATAGAGGTATGAGGTTCTCTCCGATTGGCTGGACAGAACAGGCGCGGATCGCTGACATGGCGAACGGTCTAAAATCGTTGGATCTCAGGTTAGATTAAAGCGAGGGATGATCTGGACGGCTGAGATCGCGTTCTCCGCTTGGATCTATCAGAATTCTGATGCGATCTCTTCAGAATTTAGTGAAGTCGAATGATAGTCGCCAGGATTGAGACACGTGGTGGACTGGAGTGCTTCACTCTTACGTTTGGGTTTCGTCAGGAATTCAGTGAAAGATTAATGGGTCGATTAGGGTCCGCGAATCAGGAAGAAAAGCTTATGGGATTGGGGTTATGAATTTCTAAAACAACAGATAGTAGTAGCACTGAACACTTCTGTTTTCTACATTCACCATTTAATTACTTGCATCCAGAAATCCATCAAATGACTATGAAATATGAATTCAAAGAACTACCAGGTCACTAAACCAAGTCAACCCGGATAAACCAGCATTTGGATCGCAAAAATAGAGCATAATAAACCACCATATGGATCGCCCTGTTACGATACGAAACTGAGCTGGTACGTAGGGGATGACTACAGCACCTCCCAAATTTCTGCAAGGAGGCAAACCGGGTAAATGACACATTTGGTCACTGAGATTACTAAATCGTGTCATATTTAGTCACTAGAAAAATTTAATATCAATTTTGGTCACTCAAATTACTGATACAGGTCACATTTGGTCACTCTTCTGTAGCCTCTGTCCAACTCCGGTCACTCAAATTATTGAAAAATGTCACATTTAGTCACTCGGATTACTGAAACATGTCACATTTAGTCACTCTCTCAAAAGTTTCCGTCCAACTACATTAATGGAGTTGGACGGAAACTGACGGGAGAGTGACTAAATTTGACCAGTTTCGATAATTCGAGTGACCAAAATTGATATTAATTTATCTAGTGACTAAACATGACACAATTTAATAATCTCAGTGACCAAATGTGTCATTTACCCAGGCAAACCTGTAGCATCGAAATATGAATACTCATGTATTCCTTATTCGATGCGGAATGAACTGAAGTAGCAAGATAAACAAGGCCAAAGCTGAAATATACATGGACAAACTTTGGAGAAGCTGAAACTGGTTCAACCAAAATATCAGATCGGCAGAAACATTTGTTCTGATAACAGGGTCGAAGGCCATCGGGGAAAAAAACCACAACAAATTTGAAACCCCCAACTTGTGTAAAAAGTGCAACATGTATTTGAGGTCGACAGAGTATGTATTCTCAAAACACTCGACAGAGTATGTATTCTCAAAACACTCCCCACTTCCCGAGGATTGGGAATTATGTCCGCAGATGCTTCGCCCAAAGCATTGGTCTCCCAGCTCCTCAAGTCCGCCATGGAACAAGGAGAGCGACAGAGCAAGCCTTTTAAACCTGTTAGTTGCCGGAGGCAGGCACAGCAGCACAGCGTTAGCAATTATGTTCCAGAAAAAAGGCAAGATAACAAGGGAACTAGACTTCACTGCAGGCACCGGAGTAACCAGCAACATAACATCAGCATTTGAGAGTATTAAATCTCAAGAGCAGACTGAATCATTGTTGTAGATAGAAAAATCAACTAGAGTTTATGGTTCAGAACATTCAATATTCACAGTTGAGGTCTCCAAGATCCATATAAAGTATAAACCTCTGGCAAGGTGCACCAGCCACAACTATGAGTAGCCGTTTTAATAAAAAGGTTACGCCAGAAATATAAGGAAACTTTTAAAAAGAAGGAATGCAAGGAAGTCTTGCTTGAAACTGGCCTAAGAATGCTATCCTAGAAACAGCAAATTTCAGACACATGACTTATGATAAATTTTCGACAGTTTCCCAGATACAAAACCCATATAGCCTCGACTGTTTAGCTGATAACACCATTATTATGTTATGTTCAGCGCCAAGAAAAGATGACGTGTTAGGAAAGACTTGGGAGATTACAGTTCAAACCAGAACTTGATACATGATATCCCAATCATGTTAACTTAATTAAGAGTTTGTGCTCATGGTACACATCACACACATAAATGAGCAACCCCATACATCTCGACATGGAGACTGATGCAAAGGTAATTAACTTATACACGACCACCATGGATTCAAACAATCAATGGATCAAGCGAAGGGAACATATAATCCATACTAAAAAGGTAAGCTGATATTGCATTACCCTAATGTCACGCCACACAGATCATTCCTGAACCACATATTGAGCTAATACTACATCTGCAAGCTACCAAACATGACTAGCTCGAATAAATTATTACTACAACCCTTTAAACCATTTCCCAAGCAAGCCAGTCTGATCAATTAATCATCTAATTCTTCCTCGTCCGTTCTTCAAGTTTAGGAGCCGAATTTGCGTTGCCTTACTAGTGTCAGAATAGCTGATCCCGCAGAGCAAGTTTCATAACCAAGAATTACAAAAACAGTATGATAAGAGTAAGTGCGTAGTTCCAGTGTTCAAACTGCATACCTTTGCGCCGGTGACGACATTCCTATGCAGTATCCGAGCACCACTGGAATCACCACCGTCAATCAACTCCCTCAACCCCAAATTCGCCGTTCTCTCCTCTTCTTTCTCTCCTCCTTCCTCCTCCTCATCATCTTCCTCCTCCTCCTTATGCGACCGACTAACCGCACCACCTCCACGCGAGACACCACCACCAAGCAACCTCTCGAAGTGATTCCCATAGATATACTCGGGGGTGTACCCGTTCTCTTCGTCAAACAGCATGATGTGGCCATGCCACTCCCACACTCTGTAATCCGACCCCTTCTCCTCGTGGAACCCGACACAGATATGGTGCTCGCCGATGGTAACCGCCTGACCGGAGTTGGGCTTCAAAGAATCGGTCTTGCCCGATAGAATCACCCGGATGATGTCCTTCTCGAGCTTGGCCTCCTCCTTGCGAAGCTGGGTCTTGGCAGAAGAGTCGATGCCGCCGCTGGGATCCATGGCGTTGTCGTCGTCGTCATCGGAGTCATCGGAGAGATTGTTGACAGCGTCGAAAAGGAGGTCCTCGAGGGATTTGGCGACGAAAGGGCGCTGGGAGGAGTTGGGTGGGCGGATTTGGAGACGACCCATTAGGGTTTGGAGGAGCGGATTGTCGAAGTTAGGGGTGTTGTTGAATGAGCTCATGGTGTTTGCGTTAATGTCGAAAAGAAAAGGCGCAACTGTGTGGACTGGGGTTTTTGCTTCAGCGAGAGGTAGAAGTATGGGAAGGATGGGAGGGTTTTGATGGAATGGAGGAATCGAGGTAATCGGTGGGGGAAGGGTTTATGAGAAGGTGCGGGGTTTGGAGGATATTGGATGCGAGATATTTTGTTAGGGAAACGTAGTGGATCCCGGGGGCGGACGGATATATATGAGACTATGGTTATTGATAGGATTGGAAAGCGGTTGCGTTTTTGCGGTTAAACCGCTAATCGAATTGAAATGGTGCCTTTTTTTTAATTAATCATGAATTGAATAAATAGGTGCTTATGCGATTGGGGTTAACGAAATTATTTTGTTTTGCGACTAGTGGTTTAACCACAGTCATAACCGAATGTAAAGAGTGAGATAGGTAGGTCGGGTGGCATAGAGCTCCAGCCAACTGAATTAAGAAACCCACTCAATTGAGGGCCATCGGTCTTCCCAGCCCAATTTATTGGTTTGCCAACGGCTGAAAAGATATGGAAACAAAACGAAAAACTATATCCTCAACGTCGTCTCCTCCATCTCGGGGTGAGGAGTCACGTCTCCGTTCTCCAACCATTCAACCACCCATTCACCGATTCATGAATTCTAAAAGAACTAAAGAAGAATCCATCTGTTGTCGTACACTGGACAAGAAAGGTCTTGTGTCTTCCTCGTAGGTCGTTCATTGTTGTCGGGGATCCTCCGATTCGGTGAGTCCCTGAGCTTCCCCGCCTTACATGTTGTCCTCCTCTTCTAACATGTCTTCCATGTTTGCTATCGTTCTCGGTCCTCCTTTCCCATCTTCCATTCTTCAATTCTTCTGCTAGGCTTCAACCAAACAACCACTACGACAGCAAAACGCAAGGTGCTAGCAGGCCAACACCTTCATTCAACAGTCTGAGTGTTCAAGGAGCCAACAAAAGATATGTAAGTTCCCCAATTCCAGTAAATGAGTCTTGTGGGATTGTGCTGAGTCCTTATTTCTCGATCTTCACTCTCGTAAATTATTGAAAGTGCTTGACGGTTTGTAATAGCTTTTGCGATTTTGTTGTCCCTAAAATGGCTTTCTAAATTTCTATTGTCACCAGGAGAAGGAGTGAGCAACTATATGTAAGGAAATGTACATTTAGCTCTTAATCCTGCCAACAATGCCAAGAGTAGGAAGAGACGACAAAATGAGGAATTTAGTGGAAGTGTAGCTTCACCATCTCGACACGTTATTGATGTCCCAGATGTTGCCTCTTTCGTATCCTCCTCCCGATGTTGTTGAAATTGAGCCTCCTCCCACTTATACTAACCAAGGTGTGGCAACACCTCCATCAACTGAAAAAATGATTCGAGTAATTTTATACATTTTTATACCATTCTTCTTGTCGTTTGACTTGGGTAGCATCATCCTTGGAACCATTTTACACTAGGTTATGTTATGTTTTAGTATGTTTTTAGTCTCTAGCAGGTGAAATGGGCGAAAGGATCGAAAGTCAGACAACATGGAGCGAAAACGGGACCAAGTACTGGAAATGTGAAGGATCATGGTTCAAGGCAGATTATCACGGACACAGACTGTGAAGATTACCACAAAATCGCGAAGATTTCAAGTTCCCGAGAGCATTTGAAAATCTCGCTCGTAGTGCACACATCACGGGCGCAGGGCGTGAAAAGTGGAAGGAAACCGTGAGTTTTGTGTCGACATCACGATTTCACTGCACACATCACAGGCATGATGGGAGCATCGAAGACAGCACTGTCGAGCATATTTCAAAAGCAGAAAAGTTTAGAGAGAGTTTGATCTTCTTCTTCATTATAGAGAGACAAAATGATGAACCAAGGAGAATTGAAGGGGAATTTGAGCTACCCAATGTCAAAGGAGGCTTGATTCCATCTTCAACACCATCCCAAACAACTAGAGAGAAGGGGGCTTCATCTTTTCATGGGTTTTTCCTTTTATATAGTTGTAGTTCTTTTCTCTAAAAAATAGTTGTATATTCTTTCTCTGTGCATGGAGTAGACTATATATTCACTTGGATTATGCGAACCCTAGTCTAGAAAGTTGTAGTTTTGTGATTGTGAACTCTACGTTGTTATTATCATGATTGTTTATATATTGATTGAGTATTTATCAAGATAATCGAAGGTCCTTGATCAGTTTTCTCAATTTGGGGCCAATTAACCTAGGTGAGAGAAGATCTTCTAAGGGTATTTTAGGACAATTATTCAAGTATCATAAGGGGGCAATGAATGAGGGTGATTGGTTTCTCTACACCGTTCCGTGTCATCTCCAGAGGAAGTGGATTCGGTTCCCTAATTGCTTAATCTGGTAGTTTGGTACGTCTCTTCGATTAGAGAAATTAGGTGGGTTAGGACAACTCAAATAGGGACTCTTAACTAGTTTTGATCTCCTAGCAGTATATACTAGATTAGAATCACATTTGAGTATCACGTCATTAACTTAACATGGGAATAGGGGGATAATCATCCGAGTAAAAATTTCTCCACTGAATTCAACCTTGTTTTACTCGCATGTTTGTTAGTTCATTAGCTTAAAACAACATTTATACTGCTCGATAATTTATAGTTGGTTGAAGTAAGTATATATAGACCGCCCAAGTTGGATAATCCAAAAATACTTGCTCTATACTACCATGGTTGAAAGTTCCACTTGACTTTGGATTGAGAGTGTAGTTAGAACTGAGTCAAAAACCTAATAAAATGAGTAATAAGAGGGAATGCAAGACAAGGTCGAATGCATATGAAGAGTACAAATTGTTTTCAGTACCCAATCCCAAAGCTAGCCAAGAGGAGAAGGATGGGGAAAAATGAAGAATGGATTGAGGAAGGTCGGGTGTTTGTTTTTCAAAACTGATCTTGATGTCGATTCACGCCAAAATTGTATTTCTACTCATCGTACACAAATTATAGTTTGTAGGAGAAAAAGTGTAGAATAAGGTGGTCAAATGCAATTAAGCCTACCATCGGTTGATGAGAGGATGAAAAGTTTAAGCAATTATCATGGATGAGTTGCCCTTTAGATTTGTTGAAAATGGGAAAGTATAAGTAGTTATGTCTTGTTGCATGTCCTATGTTCATGTACAAAGAGTATTAGAAAAGATTGATTTAGATTGCTTGTTTAAGGGAGGAACCAACTGAAGGATTATTCTAAAGACAAGTGTGATTGTAGGGTATATCTTACAACAGATTGTTGCACTTCTATTCAAAACTTTATTTATTTGTGTTTGATTGCTCACTATGTTGAGAATGATTGGAAGTCACATAAGACGATCATTGGGTTTTGCCGCATTACTAGTCATAAAGGATTTGATATTCCGGAGGCAATTGCATGTATTTTGGAAGATTAGGGTTTGAAGGATGTCTTTACATTCACAGTTGATAATGCAAGTGCAAATTATATAACAATTGGCTACTTGAATGAAAAATTAATGGCTTGGGGTAGGAGTATTAAGGGTGTGATTTATTTGCTTATGCATTGTGTGGCTCATATCATTAATCTCATTGTCACTTACGGATCAGAGGAAATTTGGGCGATTGTGGTACGAATTAGGGAGGTTATGATACGGGTATGTGCTTTATCTTCAAGGTTGGATAAGTTCAAGAAGTGTGTTAAATTTCATCACATTCATGGCAAGAAAATGCGTGTTTGGATGTTCCCACTAGGTGAATTCCAAATATTTGATATTGCAGGCAACTGAGGTGTGTGAGAAGAAAGTTTAAGTTCTAGAGACAAAGGATATAGAATTTTGGGTTGATCTCCTCAGGGTAAAGAAGTAAAATGGTTATTTCATTGATCCTCCAGCTGCAATACATTGAGAGAGTGCTAGAAACTTGTGCAAACACTTGAGTTATTTTCATGAACTTACCTTGCTTGTTTGTAGTACAAAGTATGGGACATCTCGTTTAATTTTTAGAGGGCTTTATCATATTTATTGTCAACTCAATGAAATGGAGGCTAGTAAGGAAGAGGACATAAGGAATATATGACACTTACAATGCATGCAAAAGAATGCAAGTATTTGACTAATATATCATCATATATGACACTAAGTGGACATCGATGAATCGACTAGTTTTCATAAATATAAATCAAGGTAATTATGAGCTTAGTGATGTATTCCTTCCCACAATGAGAAACAACACAGAAATCTAAAGGCTTGATGGAGGAAACCAGTCCAGGAGCACAAGTCGGGAATAGGCAGCAAAAATCTTTCAACTTTCCCACTTTTCGTTACTACAATCAGCATTCAGCAATACAGGAAGCAGAGCAAATGAAAAGAGAAAAAAACTTATGTCGTTTCACCTTGAAGTTCAAATGCACATCAAAAGCAATTATAACAGTCAGTTAACTTGGAACAGATGGTATATCGTCGGGTTCAGAGCGAACACATAACAGGCAGAGTCTGAATTTTGGCAAGAAAAAGGAGATTATATATTATCTATATGTATATGCAGCAGCATCTTTGCATAGGCTATAGGATGAAACTTCAGGCAGACATGGTGTGGAGATACAGACTACCTCCTCAAGCTCTCAACGATGTAGTCAGCATACAGATTCCTACAGTAAACCAAATATCGTCCAAGATTAGTATACATAATAAACACATAGACTACTACAATGGGAGAATCATGTCGTGTGGCTTTACATTGAATGCTGGACAGCCTGGTATGCATCAGTAGCTGGGAGGAAGTCGTTAACAGCAACTTCCTTGTTTTCATTCTTCTTATCTATCATCACAAAATTGCCAAGGAACACAAAACACATTCTCTTCCGTATTAGTCCAAAACAACTGTTCAAGTGCCTCCTAAGAACCAGAAACATGGTAATTGGTAAACAACTAAGGAAGTGAGACTTACAGTCTTCGAAGAAGCGGCGAATCTCAGCAAGGCGATGGGGTGGGAGCTCCTTGATATCATTGTAGTGACGGTACTCAGGATCGTCAGCACAA